ACGAACCGTGTGAGGGGTGTGCCAAAATGGGGCGGGGCCGCCATGCGAACCCTGCGTGAGGGGTGCGCCAAAATGGGGCGGGGCCGCCATGCGAACCCTGCCACTGGGGCCTTCGGTGGAACCCCCTGCGGGAACACGAACCGTGAGGGCTGCGCCAAAATGGGGCGGGGCCGCCATGCGAACCCTGCCACTGGGGCTTTCGGTGGAGCTCCCGGTGGGGCCACGAACCGTGTGAGGGGTGCGCCAAAATGGGGCGGGGCCGCCATGCGAACCCTGCCACTAGGGCCTTCGGTGGAGCTCCCGATGGGGCCACGAACCGTGTGAGGGGTGCGCCAAAATGGGGCGGGGCCGCCATGCGAACCCTGCCACTGGGGCCTTCGGTGGAGCTCCCTATGGGGCCACGAACCGTGTGAGGGGTGCGCCAAAATGGGGCGGGGCCGCCATGCGAACCCTGCCACTGGGGCCTTCGGTGGAGCTCCCTATGGGGCCACGAACCGTGTGAGGGGTGCGCCAAAATGGGGCGGGGCCGCCATGCGAACCCTGCCACTGGGGCCTTCGGTGGAGCTCCCTATGGGGCCACGAACCGTGTGAGGGGTGCGCCAAATGGGGGCGGGGCCGCCATGCGAACCCTGCACTGGGGCCTTCGGTGGAGCTCCTATGGGGCCACGAGCCGTGTGAGGGGTGCGCCAAAATGGGGCGGGGCCGCCATGCGAACCCTGCCATGGGGCCTTCGGTGGAGCTCCCCATGGGGCCACGAACCGCCAATTGGGGCGGGGCCGCCATGCGAAACCCTGCCACTGGGGCCTTCGGTGGAGCTCCCTATGGGGCCACGAAACGTGTGAGGGGTGCGCCAAAATGGGGCGGGGCCGCCATGCGAACCCTGCCACTGGGGCCTTCGGTGGAGCTCCCCATGGGGCCACGAACCGTGTGAGGGGTGCGCCAAATTGGGGCGGGGCCGCCATGCGAACCCTGCCACTGGGGCCTTCGGTGGAGCTCCCGATGGGGCCACGAAACGTGTGAGGGGTGCGCCAAAATGGGATGGATCATGCAAGCCCTGCCGCCGTGGCACTGGTTTTTAGCTGTTTGCCAAGCTCGCGCGGCGCAAGCTCAGGTCAGAGCAGCCACCATGCCGGCGGCCGCGGGGCACAGGCGGCAGGCGAAAGCCTGGGATCGGGGAGCAGCGTGGCAAAGGAGCGAGCGGCAAAAGGGCCAACCCACCGCCACGCCGCCGTTCCCCCCGTCAGTGAGCCTGCGCCCTCGGCTGCGCCTCTTTCGGCGGCAGCCCGATCCTGACCTGATCCCTTGGACCTTCTCGAGGCGACGCTGCAAGCCTTGGGCGCTGTTGGGGAGATTGCACTGTGCAGCTGCCAACCCATGGTGCTTGCCACCGACCACCCGAGCGCAGCAATGGCACTTGGTGCAAATGCAGTGCCCCTTGACGGTGGCCAGCTGGTGCCCGCCGCTGGCCACCCCAGGGGCCCCAGTGCCGTCACCAGCGAACGACGCGGCGGCAGAGGGCCCATGGGGGCTGCCGAAGGCCACCGACCGAGAGGGCCCGGGCGACCTGGAGCGGCGGGCGAAAACGCGGCCGCTCTGCGGCGGGACCTGGCTGCTGGACTGCAGGCCCTCGGCAGACGGCGAGAGACCTGGCCCGCAGAGGTGCGCCGCAGCATCAGACAGGGGCTGCTGGCTGCACTGCGCGGCAGTCGGGGCTGGGGCCTCCTGCGGGGCTTCTGCAGCGGGGCCCTCGGGAGGCAATGATGAGGGACCTTGGGGGGGGGGGGGGGCAGCCTTAGGGTGATCGCCGAGCTCCTCCCCTACCACCCCCCCCCCGCGGCTGCGGATCCCGCCCACGCTGCGCGAGGCAGCGGCGCGATTCCCGCTCCTCGTGCCGACGGCGGCCCCCGAACGGGGGCCCGCGGCCATCGGAGGGCCCGCGGGCCTCTCGACAGCCACTTCCTCCACCAGGCCAGGGCCAAAAGGCGTTTCTGCAGCGGGGCCCGCAGGAGGTCCAGGCGCTGGAGGACCACAAAGCCAACAGCAGCAGCGCCTGCGCATGCCTCACTCACTTTTTTTTGGTCGGCGGGTCGAGAGAGGGCCTCTTCCGGTTAAGAGCTAGGCGGGGCGATGCCTCTGCCCCCTCACTCGGGCGGCCCGCCTCGCTCGAGCTGGCCCCAGAGGCCGCCGACAACAGGAAGGCGATCTTCTGCTTGGTCGTCTTGGGGGCCTCTGCGGTCTCGCTGACGTCGTCGGCGCCGCTGCACTGCCCAGACACGCCAGCCGCTGCCTCCACTGCGGGGCCAGAGGCAGCCTGCTCCACCGCAGGTTCGACTGCCCAAGTTCGGCGGCTTGGCGCCGAGACGAGATCTCCCCTGCCGTCTCGAGGGCGGCGGAATCTGTGGCCCACCTCGGTCCCAGGGCCCAGGAGCTCTTCGCCAGAGGGCTGTCCCCCGACCCCGCTGCTTGGTTGCCTCGCAGTGCTCCCGACCCCTCCTCGCGGAGCGCGAATGACTTCGCGCCCTCGTGGGAGCCCTTGCTCTGGGGGGTGGTGCCGCTGGATGAGGCCCCCCTCCAGGCGACGCGAGGGACGGCGAAGACTGCGCCGTCCTTCAGCTCACCCGCCACGCATATCGATTGCATATCGATGCATATCGATATGCAATCGATATGCGTGCCCGCCGCACCGCATATCGATTGCGACGGCACCGCGGCTTGCGGAAGGGTGCCAGATGCATATCGACTGCGCCGGCACCGCAGCCTGCGCGTCGGACCCTCGGGCCGCCTCGAGCCCGTGCAGGCCTCGGGCCCAGTGGTGGGCGCAGGACCACGACAAGCTGGACGGCGTGGTTGTCCATAAAGTGCCCGCCCACTGCAGCGCCACTGCTGTGGTGGACGTGCTGCTGACTCGCGTCCAGTGGCTCGGCAACAAGGCGGCTGACAGATGTGCTCGTTGCGGGGCCGAGCTGTGCCCTAGCTCGGAGCAGGATCGTCTCGTGATCCACGGCTTTCACGAGATGGCCAGAGACGTATCGAGTTTCTCGGCGCGGCAGGAGGCCTTCATTGCCGACGAGAGGTCTGTCGACCACATTCCCCTCTCTTGGCTCCAGCACATGGACCTTGGAGAGTTTTTTTTTGTTGGACCCATAGTGGCTCAGGAGGCTCCAGGGGGTCCCAGTGGAAGGCGGTCGACTCCTTGGTCGAGCAGTCCGAGGACACCGTCGCGAGGGGGGGGGGGCCCACTGTCCGTGGGGAGCGCCTGATGGACCTTGGAGAGTTCTTCCCAGCGGAAGCCGACGGCCCGAGCCGCCCTCTGCAGGCGTGCGGCGGTCCTTCGGACGTGGGCGGCATGGCCGCCCCCGATTTTGCGGTGCGGATGCCGACGCCTTTTGGAGGGCCCCCGGCCGTGGCACGCTCGCGGCCACTCGTGCCTCGAGGCGCCTATCGAAGGCTCCGGTGGAGCTCTGGGGCGAATCTTTTTTTTTTTTTTGCACCACGTGCGGATCCGTCGGCTACCCTGGAGCGAGGCGGGGCCGCAGTGCTCTCGCGCCGGAGTGCCCTGGCGCCCACACGGGCGGCCATTGGCTCAGATCTTGCGCGGGAAGCACCGATCACGTCGCGATGGGCGTGACGGCCAGGCGGCCTCCATCTCGGACTCGAAATATCAGGAGGAGGAGGAGGAGGAGGAAGAGGAGGAGGAGGAGGAGGAGGAGGCGGAGGAGGAGGGGGAGGGAGGAGGAGGAGGAAGAGGAGGAGGAGGAAGAGGAGGGAGGAGGAGGAGGAGGAGGAGGGGGGAGGGAGGAGGAGGAGAGGAGGGAGGAGAAGAGAAGGAGGAGTAGGTGGAGGAGGAGGAGGAGGAGGAGGGAGAGGGAGGAGGAGGAGGAGGAGGAGGAGGAGGAGGAGGAGGAGGAGGAGGAGGATCCCCCTCTCGGCCTGGCTCCTCCCCTCGCTTCGGCCGGTCGGCCCGACCCTGTCCGAGGCCTCGCCCTGTTTGGCTTCTCCTCCCGCGCCGAGGCCGCGAGCCCAGGGGCGCGGGTGCTTGAGAGGAGGAAGCGGGCGGGCCTCGCGGACGGTTTTGACGTGGGGGAGGGGTAGGTTTGTTGATTGTTGATGTATGGTTCCATTGGTTTGCAGACTCTGCAGGTGGCGATGCTCCCCTCCTCTCACGTCTCCATGTCGACCTCGTCCGTGGCCTCGAGAGCGCCATGACTGTCGGGTTCGACGGGGATTTGTCTGGCTCCTGGCCCCGTGCTCGAACTCTCGCAATTCCAAGGGAACCCTACACTGACTCCACACCGCTCTGCAGCGCAACCGCGCAAATTGCACTAGCGTTACATTCAAGCGACCTGGTGACCCCGACGAACGCCTCCCTGCGCGGCGACTGCGATAGGTGCTGTCCCCCTCCCAAACATCGCACAGCCCAGCATGGCTGCAATCATGCCGTCGTGCACGAAAGCGTAAACCATAACTAACCCCAGAAATTCCAATGGACTCCTCACATCGTCTGGGGGGTGGCGGACTGGCTGAAGCCTCCTGACTAGTCAGTTTTCCTCCTGCTCCTACTCCAGCCTCCTTCTCTTATAGCTATTCTTCCTTTTCCTCCTCCTCCCCTCCCTCCCTCCCTCCTCCCCTCCTCCCGTCCCTCCTTCCTCCTTCCTCCTTCCTGCTTCCTCCTTCCTCCCTCCTCCTTCGTACTCCTCCTTCCTCCTCCTCGTCCTCCTCCTCCTCCTCCTCGTCCTCCTCCTCCTCCTCCTCGTTTCCCTCCTCCTCCTCCTCCTTTCCCTCCTCCTCCTCCTCCTCCTCCTCCTCCTCCTCCTATCCCTCCTCCCTCCTCCTCATCATCTTCCTTTTCCTCCTCCTCCTCCTCGTAATCCACCTCCTCCTCCTCCTCCTCCTCCTGCTCCTCCTCCTCCTCCTCGTAATCCTCCTTCTCCTCGTAATCCTCCTCTTTCTCCTCCTCTTCGTGGCTTGGCGGCGGACAGAGCAGCCGCAGCCCCGGGCCCTCCTGCCGGCAGCGCGCGCCTTCGGGCGCCCTCGGACGCCAGTGCCTCCGCGCGGTGGGGGGGTGGGCGGGGGAGGGGGGTTCCGGCAGGCGGGGGCGAGGGGCGTTCGCTCGGAGGGCGGAGGAGCAGGAGGAGCAGGAGGAGGAGGAATAATAATAATAATAATAATAATAATGAGAAGAAGAAGAAGAAGAAGGATAATGATAAGAAGAATAATAAGAAGGAGAGGAGGAGGAGGAGGAGGAGGAGGAGGAGGAGGAGGAGGAGGAGGAGGAGGAGACGACGACGACGAGCAGGAGGCGAAAGGATTTTGGAGAGAGGAGTGGAGGAGGAGGATGAGCAGGAGGAGGACGACGACGAGCAGGAGGAGAAAGGATTTTGGAGAGAGGAGGGGAGGAGGAGGAGGAGGAGGAGGAGGAGGAGGAGGAGGAGGAGGAGGAGGAGGACGACGACGAGCAGGAGGAGAAAGGATTTCGGAGAAAGGAGTGGAGGAGGAGGAAGAGGAGGATGAGGAAGAGGAGGAGGAGGAGAAGGAGGAGGAGGGAGGGAAGATGAGGACAGAGAGTAGAGCGAGGAGGAGGAGACGTCCGTAGGGAGAAGCAAGCTCAGTAGAGGGAGGAGGGGAGGATCATGTTTTCCAGCTGCTTCCAAAAACTGCCCTCATGTGAAGGACCCTGCTACCTACTGGTCACGGATGGAAAGGGACAGAACCTGACCACCTGCTTCTCTTGCTCATTCCGGGGGGGGGGGGGGCCAGGCCCGCGCAGGAACAAGTCCAAGAAGCCCTGCCCGCACCGGGGGCCGGGCGGCCTGGACGTATCCCTCGATCCGTGCTTGACTCTGGGGCCACTGTGACAGGGCGAGGGTGACCTGCCAGCATCTAATACGATTCATCTTATGATATGATGGTACATCCGACATCCGTTTTGCCACCTGCGTACATCCGACTCTGCCATCTGATACGATTATCTTAGAATGTATCATTACCCCAGCAGCATGGCCACAAAACGCTGGCCGTCGCATCCCTCTACAGGGCGAGGGTGGAGCTGCGAACGCTTGCTAACCGCTGTGTCGGGAAAGCGGCTGCCTCTCATCCGGTGGCATTTTGGAACAGAAGCTGCCACCGTCGTCGAGCTCCTGATCAGCCGCGACCTGGGCCCGACCCCGACACGTGCCCAGAGCACAAGAACAGCCTCCAAGAGCGGACCCAGCGCAGGCCCTGTGCCCCGAAGCTCGATCCCTGGGACCGCTGGACCTCAGAGAGACGACATCCATATCCACGGCGGGGGCCAGCCGCTGCCTCAGATGGAAGCCCCCCTGCTCGAGGGCGAAGCATGCTACACCTTAGGCGATGCTTAAGAACACCTTAATTTTCGGCCAGAGTCTCGATTATTCTTAATGTTTCAATGTAAATCCTAAGATTTGAATGGAAACTTTAGGTTTTTATTCAAGTTCTGAGACTATGAATTTCTTAACCCATGATTTCTTAAGCATTTCGCAGGGTGTACGCATGGAATGAAGTCAATAATAAGATGAACGGTGAGGCTGCGATGCCTCTTCTGATTTTGAGCCAGCTATGATGCCCATTCGTGCCCGCCCCGTCCCGTCTTCAGGGGCCTCGCCTCCCCCCTGTGACGGCGGGATGGGGAGACGGGCCACCAACCCCCGGCGCTGCACGCGGGGTGCCAGGTTCGTGGGGCTTTGCCCCCGCGGCCCCTTCGGTGGGAGCTGCGGAGGGTGTGAGGCCTTATGGCGGTCCTCACTGCCAAGGCCTGTGATGGTCCTCACCTTTTGGGGGGGAAGGAGAATACCCAAGAAGGGCAGCGAGGGCAACGAGAACCACCGTCCAAACCCAAGCAGGCGAGAATCCACTATCAAAAGGAGCGGGCGGTCCACTGGCGGGGAGTCACGCCGCACCCGCCGCCACCTCGCGGCGTCACGCCCCCGTCGAACACCTCGTTCCTATCCCGCGGAGCAGCCCTCTGAGAAGTAGCATAACTCCCACGTACGTACACCCCCACAATCGTGCAGCTACGCCCACTCGCGCTGGTAATCCCAGACGTGGCCGTCGTCGTCGCCGAAGTCGTGGTCCTCGACGTCCGTCGTCGGTGCTAGGATCGTGAGTATTTGCCCCCGCAGCCCCTATGATGGAAGCTGCGGAAGGTGTGAGGCCTTATGGCGGTCCCCACTGCGAAGGCCTACGATGGTCCTCACCTGTGGGGGGGGAACGAAAACTACCGTCCGAACCCAAGCGCGCGAGAACCCACTATCAAAGGAGCGGGCGGTCCACTGGCGGGGAGTCACGCCGCACCCGCCGCCACCTCGTGGCGCCACACCCCCGTCGAACACTCCTATCTCCCGGGGCAGTCCTTTCAGAGGCAGCGCGAATACCTCGGACGCCCCCCCCCCGAACTCGTGATGCTGCGTCCACTCGCACTGGTAGTCACAGTCGTGGTCGGCGTCGTCGCTGATGTCGTCGGTGTCAGATTCGTTGGGAGTTGCCCCGTAGCCCCTATGATTGAAACTGCAGAGGGTGTGAGATGTGAGGCCTCATAGGGGACCCTTACTGGTAAGGCATTGAACGCGAAAGCATGTGATGGTCCTTCTTCCCAAAACGAGCCCTTTTCTGGTGGCTTCGAATTTGGGTGCGAGTCCCTATGACGGCCGCTTCGGTTGCCTATGATGGCGGCACTCGTCGACCGGCAGGACACTGAGTCCCGTTCACGGTCGACTAGGGGAGAGCATGCTACGCATGGACTGAAAGCAATGACGAGATGAACGATGAGGCTATGATGCCTCTTGTGATTTTGAGCCAGCTATGATGCCCACTCGTGCCCGCCCCGTCCCGTCTTCAGGGGCCTCGCCTCCCCCCTGTGACGGCGGGATGGGGAGACGGGCCACCAACCCCCGGCGCTGCACGCGGGGTGCCAGGTTCGTGGGGCTTTGCCCCCGCGGCCCCTGCGGTGGGAGCTGCGGAGGGTGTGAGGCCTTATGGCGGTCCTCACTGCCAAGGCCTGTGATGGTCCTCACCTTTTTTTTGGGGGGGAAGAAGAATACCTAAGAAGGGCAGCGAGGGAAACGAGAACCACCGTCCAAACCCAAGCAGGCGAGAATCCACTATCAAAAGGAGCGGGCGGTCCACTGGCGGGGAGTCACGCCGCATCCGCCGCCACCTCGCGGCGTCACGCCCCCGTCGAACACCTCGTTCCTACCCCACGGAGCAGCCTTTTGAGAGGTAGCACAAGCACAAATTCCACGTACGTGCACCCCCGCAGCTACGCCCACCGAGCAACGCCCCCGAGCCTGCGGTGGTAGAAGCGTGGCTCCGCGCCCCAAGCCCGCCAACGTGTCTGCCAGCCTGCGAACTGGCCACCCAGCATGCCAACATCACCCAGGCGCCTCCAACATGGGAACCCTGGGGGGCCACCCAGAAAGAACGCGCGCAGAGGAACCCAGGGGGTCCAGCTTCCGCGGAAGAAAAAACAAAAATCCTTGGCGAGGGCTTCGGGCATGGGGGAAGAAGAAAAGAAATCCGGCCGAGGGTTCGGGGGGTGCACGCGTGAGTCGCGGGGGCGATATGCCAACCAGCCTGCCAAGCAGCAAGCAAGCCAGACCAGCCAAGTTTCCAACCAGCCAGCCAGGCAGCCAACCAACAAATCGCTCCAACCAGCCCGGCCAGGGCGAAGCCCTTCAGCACACGCGCTGCTCCACGCGTGCGGCGCTACTCCCACGATTCAACACCCTCCTGGTTGAGGGGGGTCCACATTTTTGGCCAGCCAACATTCTTAAGCCCACTGACCTGACCCGTCGAGTGCAGACTGAATCGCTCTACTTAGACTTCCCTGTTGTATAAGAAAAATAAGACATACACATTATGTTTATTTAGAAAGGAAATGAGACGAGAGATACAAAAACATACACACAAAGGATTACATAACGGACTAAATCAAAAACATAACAAACAATACAGAAAGCAATAAAGAGTGATACATATATATATATAGATCAAGTATGCAAATACATGTGTAAATGCACACACATATAGAGAGAGGGAGAGAGGGAGAGAGAGAGAGAGAGAGAGAGAGAGCGGGAGAGAGGGAGAGACACACACAGACAGACAGACAGAGAGACAGAGAGACAGACAGACAGACAGACAGACAGACAGACAGACTGGCAGACAGACCGACAGACAAACAGACCGACCGACAGAGAGACAGAGAGGGAGGCAGATGCATGGCGGGCTGCGCCTCCAGCAGCCCCACTGTCATGGCGCTCTCCCAGAAGGACACCTCGCGCTGCAAGGGCCGGCGCCACAGCCGCACCCCGCCGTCGCAACTGCTGTCGAAGGCTGACCCGACGCACTCCCGAAGCTGCCGAATCGCCCTCTCTTGGTCGCCCCTTCTGCTACTGGTCCGCCTCCTCCTCCTCCTCCTCCTCCTCCTCTTCATCTTTGGATCCTCCTCCTCCTCCTCCTCCTTGTCCTCATCATCGTCACCATAACCATTACCGTCACCGTCACCATCCCCATCAATATCACCATCAACATCACAATCATCACCATCATCACCATCATCATCCTTCTCATCATCATCATCATCATCATCATCATCATCATCATCATCATCATCATCATCATCATCATCATCATCATCATCACCACCATCACCATCACCATTACCATCACCATGACCATCATCCCTGTCATCCCCATCCTCACCATCATCATCACCATCAGCACCAACATCATTATCAAGCATCATCAACAACAAATCATCATCAACCTCCTCCTTCTCCTCGTCGTCGTCAGCGTCGTCGTCATCGTCGTCATCGTCGTCATCGTCATCATCTTACTTTAACCCTCTTTGTTTCTCGTCCTCCTTCCTCCTCCCTCCTCCTCCCTCCCCCTTCCTCCGTACTATCGCCCCTCTTCCCCCCTCCCTCCCACCCCTTCCCCCTCCTGCCTCCCTCTCCCCATCTCCTGGGCCCTGCTTTCATTCCTGGTCCAGCCCCTCCTCCTGCTCCTGACGCGACCACAATGCCCTAAAGGGTGGCGATACCGGGAAGTTGGGCCCACTAGCGGGCTCAAGGCGCCCCGAAGCCTCCTCTGCCACCTCCTTCTCCTCCTCGTCCTCCTTAGACCTCCTCCTCCTACTCCTCGCCCTCCTCCTCCTCGTCTCGTCCTCCTTAGACCTCCTCCTCCTCCTCCTCCTCCTCCTCCCCCTCCTCCTCCTCCCCCTCCCCCTCCTCCTCCTCCTCCTCCTCCTCCTCCGCCTCCTCCTCTAGCATTTCCTTCTCCTCCTCGTCCTCGTCCTCCTCCATCCCTTTCCTTTGCCGCACCCCGAGACGTGTCTGTAGGGCAGGCCGAACGTTTCGCCAGAGACCTCCTCTCCATTTCGGATCCTTCAGCCTGAATTTGACCATTCTTTCACTGGTAAAGGGCATGTCGTTTTCATAATGCGGTTCTCGCCTTTGCGCCGCGCACATTCGTCAAAAATATGAAGGTTTTCGCAGATGGAGAGCGGGTGGTTTTCCAAATTTCACTCTCGCCTCAGCGCTGCGCACGTTCGTCTTAAACGTTAGCCATAACTTCACGGATGGAGGGCGGGCCGTTTTCAACATGTGGCTTTCGCCTCAGTGCCGCGCACATTATTCCAACAGTTTGCAACAAGTTCATGGATGCCAGGCGGGACCTTTTCAAAATGTGGCTCTCGCCTGATTGCCCCGCACCCTCGTCTTAAGAGTTTACATGAGTTTCAATGATTGCTATGGCTGGCGTCCCAGAAATGGCGTATTGGCACAGTGTGGGAGCTTCGGGACGCAACAGTCGCGTTTTCGCGGTGTTGGAATCCAAAGAGTTGCGTTCTGGCGCGATTCAGGACCGTCAGCACGCAACAATAACGTTGATTCGCGGCGTTCAAGTCCCAGGAATGGTGTTCTGGCACGGCGGATCAGGATGCTCAAACGGTTGTCTTTCAACAGCGCACATGCCTCAGTGAGAACGGATCCTTGTAGGGACTCTTGAAGATGGAACTTGGAGGGAGAGGTTACTGCAACATCTTTGATGAGTCTTGGGTTTGCACCGGTCCTCTTTTCTAAACGTCAGGCACACATCAAGTGCTAAGCTGGTTGCGTTCTGCACTGGTCTCCTCCTCCTCCTCCTCCTCCTCCTCCTCATCCTCCTTAGTTCTCGCCCTCCTCGCTCCTCATGAAGGGGCCCTGGGACACACAAAGGAATACACACAAATAACAGGATTCCCCACATTTTCACATATTTTTGGGATTCTCGTCTTCCCCCCCACTTCCCATCTTTTCTGGGGAATCGACGATGAATTGTGTTTGTGTGTTTTCTGCCCTCCTCGCTCCTCGGTCGTCAACCCTCGCCCTCGCCGCTCCTCGCCCTCGACCCCCGTGCGGCCGCAGCGCGCGGGCACCAGACCCCAAACAGAAACCTCGCGAGACCTCTGCGCCGCAGGCCGCTGGCCACCGCGGGGCCGCACGCCACTGAGCACGGTGTAACCGATCCCTGTTCCCACTGGCGTGGCATATGCCCCACTCTCGCCATCGCTCGGACGTCCATTCCCTGTGTTTTTGTTCGGTTTCGCGCGTGGTTTTTTTTTTTCGCCAGATGATCAAGGATGCTCCTCGATGGCCCTCGCCGAAGGAAAAAGGCACACGTCCGAGCGATGCCAAGCACTGGCGCATTTACAAGGGCTCCCAACTTCGCGCTTCGCGCTGCGCGAAGCGCGAAGTGCGAATCACTTCGCGCGCTCGCGCCGCCTCCCAGGGGAGAAGGGGAGGACGAGGAGGAGTCGGAGCCGAACCGCGAAGCGCGAATAACTTCGCGCCCTCGAGGGCGCCCTTACGTTTATCCGTCCAGGTGGGGATACAAGCTGCTCCAGTCGGGCTTCGAGGGGCACATCCCCAGCTGGGGTGGCGGGACAGTGGGAATAGGGATGGGGATGGGAATCGGTTCAATGATACCGACACCAGGCCGGCGGGGAAGGAAACGAACGCTCTGGGTCACCCAACTTGGCGTCCTCGCGCCCTGCGATGCACGATAGTCTGACGAAACAGTTAACCAGGGTGTACTAGCCAGGGTTAGGCTTGTGCAAATCAGCACTCCTGTTTTTGATGTGCCAAAAAGGCGTTAGGTGCTGGTAAGACCAAGACACGGTTGGTGACCCCTGGCGAATGGCTGCTTGATCGTCTCCGCGCGGCAGGGGCAGCGCCAGCAGGTGCGCCGCCATGGGGCCCCACGCCAATCCAAGAGACCCGCGTGGACCTCAAACAGATTACGCTTGTGTAGACGTTCCTTGAACGACCTGAGCTGGAGACTCTGGGTCACCCAACATCGCGCATCCCGGAAGCTGGGCGAGGGCTGCTAAAACCGTGGCTGCCAAAACGGCCCTCCCGGAAGGAAAAAACACCTTCCCGGAATGAGGCGCGCCACGCGAAACAGTCCACGGGCTTCTTCCCGGAAGGACGAAGACAACTTCCCGGAGGTGGATTTTAGCAGACACGGATTTAGCAGCCCTTGCCCTGCTTCCGAGCATCGCACCCCACCATGCGCGACGCGCATTTATTGTCGCGCCCTCGCGCCACGCCTGCCCCTTGGAGAAGGGCAGTCGCTCTGGCCCAGACCGCGACGCGCGAATCGCGGTCATCTTCGTTCGAGTCCCCGCGGAACGAACCACCGACCGCTGCGGTCAGCGCCCGGGCCCGGCAGAGGCCAGGTGGGAGAGTGGGAGAACGAGAGATGGGAGGAGGAGGAGGAGGAGGAGGAGGAGGAGGAGGAGGAGGACTTTTTGGCCCGGCACAGCGTGCAGAGGAAAGAGGAGGGAAAACAGAAATCCGCAACCATGTGACGAACCCGTGGTGCCTTCAGCCGCGGCTGGAAATCACCCCCGACCCTGCACCCCCTCCGATTGGAGTCCCCATCAGCGGCCGGGCACGCACTCCTGGCAGCTGATGAGACACCTCCGTGATCACACTGCCCGTGGCCTCAAAATGGCGCCGTCATCGTCGTCGTCGCCGTCGTCGTGGTCGTCGTCGTGGTCGTCGTCGTGGTCGTGGTCGTGGTCGTGGTCGTCGTCGTGGTCGTAGTCGTGGTCGTGGTCGTGGTCGTGGTCGTGGTCGTCGTCGTCGTCGTGGTCGTGGTCGTGGTCGTGGTCGACGGTGGTCGTGGTCGTGGTCGTGGTCGTGGTCGTGGTCGTGGTCGTGGTCGTCGTCGCCGTCGTCGTCATCGTCGTTGTCTCCAGCGGCACCAGCGCCGCGCGATGCGCAAGGCAGCGCGCAAACAGCCCCCGCCCACCTTGCCCCACAGGGCGTGGTCGTACAGCCTCGACAGCAGGGAGCTGCCCCCACTGCAGATGCGCTGGGCGAGGACCTGGGGAGGAAGAAAGGGGAGCGGGAACGCTCGAGGAGGGCCTCAGGGCGACAAGGGGCGAGGAGGGCCCGCTCCCGCTCCTCCAACTCGTCCTCCTCCTCCTCCTCCTCCTCCTCCTCCTCCTCCTCCTCCTCCTCTGTTCCTTATAGATAACTCCTCCTTGTCGCACCACCAGACGTGTCGATCGGTAGGGCGGGCCAGGCGTTCCACCTGAGACCTCCTCGCCATTTAGGATCCTTCAGCTTGCAAGTTGCCATTCCAGGATGGAGGTCAGGTCGTTTTCAACATGTGAATCTCGCCTCAGCCCCGCGCACATCAGTTTCAACATTTGCGGCAGTTTCACCGATAGAGGGGACTATGTGTTTAATTTGCCTCTCGCCTTAGCGCCGCGCACATTCGCCTTCAAAAATTTGCGACCAATTCAAGGATGGAATGCGATTCCTTTTCAAAATGTGACTCTCGCCTGAGCGCCGCGCACGTTTCTCAAACATTGTAACACATTCTAATATGCGTATGGCTTAAGTCCAGGAGCCGTGTTCTGGCACAGTTTAAGATTATCAGGACGGAACAGTTGCGTTTATTCCCAGTGCTGAATCCCAATAATGGTGTTCTGGCGCGATTTAGACTTGTCGGGACGCGAGAGTTACGTTGATTCGTGGCGTTGACGTCCCAAGATTGGCTTTGTCTTGGCACGGCTGAGGACTCTCAAACGGTTGTCGTCCAGTGAGCATTTCCCGATATTTCCCGCTGTTGAAAACGAAAGTTCAGGTTTGCGTCGTGCTCTCCTTCTTCTTCTTCTTCTTCTTCTTCTTCTTCTTCTTCTTCTTCTTCTGTGATCAGCACCTAACTTCGCGCATCGCGCCCCGCGATGCGCGGTTGTCTTGGCACCCTCGCGCCGCCGCCCTGGAGAACGGTGCCTCTCGGGCCCAGGCCGCGACGCGCGAAGAGCGATTGTCTTCGCGCCCCCGCGGGTGACCCACACGGACTCGGCTCGATAGCCTGCCGGACCAGCGAGCTGGTGCTCGCCATCGCTCGGACGTCCATTCCCTGTGTTTTATTCGGTTTCGTGCGTGGTTTTTTCCCCAAATGATCAAGGATGCTCCTCGATGGCCCTCGCCGAAGGAAAAATGCACACGTCCGAGCGATGCCAAGGGTGTCGTGTCAGATACTTGGGTGTCGTGTCAGATACTTGTCGGGCGTTGGCAGAACTGGGTTTAGTGGAACCTGGTTTAGCGATGTGTACCGGGGGGCGCCCCCCCGCCCCGTTCCGCGAGCCGAACTGCCGTTACCCGAAGAACACCAGTTACGGCAAACCTGGTTTGGTGAATCTGGCCAATGGAGGGGCCCCAAGGCCCTACCACTAACCGGGTCCCCTTACCTGGGGTCCTGGCTATACCCGAACTTGGGCAGCACGGAAGCGGAACGCGCTCCGCCCGGCCTGCTGCTGCATGCTCCCAGCGGCCGCCTCGCCCAGCTTCGCGCATCGAGCCCCACGATGCGCGACGCGCGACCAGCTTCGCGCCCTCGCGCCGCCCGCCGCTCCGGCCCAGGCCGCGACGCGCGAAGCGCGCTTAGCTTCGCGTCCCCGCGGGTGCCCGTCGCTACTGCTGCAAAATATCCGGCGACCCTTCGGCGAATGCGAGAGGCTTCTCCGCTTGGGTCGCCGTCTTCGTCGTCAGCCCCACGGAAATTGAGGAACAAGGAAATTGCGAAACATCGCAGTTAGGTCTGAGGGACGTCTCTTTCCTTTGATCCCTTCCCTGCTGGGCCAACCCCCAGCAGGGGGGGGGGAAGAGGCGGGGGGGTCCCGGGTCAAAACGCCGCCTCCCCGGGGTCCCGTTGGTTATGTTGCATCCTCGGGGGACCTTGTCTGTCCCGTCGTGGTCGTATCCGCGTCGAATCCATGTCGAATCCATGTCGGCCTCGGCGGTTCCATGTCGAATCCGTGTCGAATCCGCGTCGGATGCACGCCAAATCCGCGTCGAGGCCGCATCGAGCCCCCGCGCCGGGCACAAGAAAAGACACCAGTTTATGGGACAGGCGAGGCCCCCCGAAGGTGCAACGCAACACAACAATCTCCACACGGGCACCCGCGGGCCGCGTTCTCCTGTGCTCGCGGGGAGGGCCGCGGTGCACAACAGCGTCAGCTCTCGATGCTGATCTATGCACCGCTACCCTCCCCTGAGGCCCCAGAGCAATCCACGAGGTGTACGTGTGTAGATCTGTATTCTCACACACATATGTACGTCTATAAATGTGATATATATATATATATAGAGTATACATTTATACATATACATATATATATACATATATATATATACGTGTATACACATACGAACAGGAAGGTCACGTGGCAAAAAGGGAAGTACGAGATCGCCAGGCAAAATGTCACGGGGCCGGCGGCTGGACAGCCTCACGCGAGGGGCAGCTGGTCCCCGTGCCGCCCGCCTCGCGCGAGTCGTGTCCCGCAGAACGACTGTGCGAATACCCGCCGCAGAAACGCTTTGCACCCGCGCGCCGGGTGTGAGGGTCCTTTCAAGGGCTCTGAGCCGACTTCGCGCGACGCCCGCGCGGCCTCCTGGGGCATCGCGCCTGAGATTGCGCGAGGCATGGCGAAATTACACACGTCAGCCGTGTATCCGCGCTGTCGTCACGGCAGTGCGGCATCGCGCCAATGCGAAAACATGCCGAAGGCGCTACACTGCGCTGCGGCCTTGCACAACCAGGCACCCTCCTAGTCTATATCACCCGCTCGCAATTCGTCCGTAGCCTGGTTGATTCGGTGCTTTGCAGGCTGCTGCTGCTGGATGTGATGGAGCGATCACGGATGCACCATGCTGCGCGGCGCACCCCCCGTACTGCTCGAGCGAGTCTGACGAGAGCCTGGCGGTAGACTCCAGAGGTTCGCGCGGCGCCAACGCCAAAGCCCAGCAGCCACCTCGGCGTGAGTGGTCTAGGGAGTTTCCTCTTCCAGCTTCCCTCATCCCCTTCGGGGAGGGGTCTACCCTGGGTCTGGAGGGGAGAGGTCGCGAGGTGTTAGAGCGTCCAAGATGGCCTCGGCGAGGAAACTAACATCATTGATGTGATGAAGGTTTTGGCCACATTTTGGCGTCCTGGGGGACCCTAACGTACTATGGCCCCACATTTGATCGATCTCCTCCATGATGGCCCTAAGAAGGCCCCCGAGGCTTCCCAGGGCGCCGCCAGACTGTCCCAAGAGGTGTGCCGGAGGCCCTCCAAAGGCACCCAAGGGGCACCCGGCACCCAAGATACCCCCAAGTGGCTTCCAAGAGACCCCCAAGAGGCACCCAAGACGTCCCAAGAATCCTCGGCGAAAAAAACAAAATCATTGAATGTACAAAGGCTTCGGCCACATGTTGGTCTCCTGGGGGGGGACCCTAATTGAGCCTCACTCCTTTGATCGATCTCCTCCATTATGGCCCCACGATGGCCCCCGAGGCTCCCAAGAGTGTCCCCAAGACGGCTCCAAGATGTGCCCAGGAGGCCCCAACAAGCCCCCAAGAGGCCCCCAAGAGGCCCCCAAGAGGCTCCCAAGAGACCCCCAAGAGACCCCAAGAAGACCCCCAGAGGCACCCAACACGCCCCAAGAGGCCCCCCAGACTTCCAAGAGACCCCCAAGATACCCCAAGAGGACTCCGAGAAGCTCTGCGAAGAAATCCGAAGAGACTCAGAAACGCATCCAAAAGGCATCCGGAGTTTCTGCTCGCCAGCCTCCTCCTCGTCGTCATCGTCATCATCAACAACAACAACAGTATAAACATCATCGTACTCGTCATCATCATCATCATCATCATCATCATCATCATCATCATCATCATCATCATCATCATCATCATCATCATCATCATCATCATCATCATCAAACATCACCATCCTCATCAGCGTCATCATCATCATCATCATCATCGTCATCATCATCATCATCATCGTCATCATCGGCATTCTCACCATCGTCATCATCAAAATCATCATCATCATCATCATCATCATCATCATCATCATCACCATCACCATCACCATCACCATCACCAGCAGCATCACCATCATCAAGCATCATCATCGTCAAACTTGACAGCATGATCACCATACTCGGAATCGTGATCGTTACCAACATAATCCTCATCATCATGACCATCACCGTCACCATCACCATACTCATCCTCATAATCATCATCAACATCATCAGCACCGTCATCATCAGCAGCAACAGCATCCGCATCATCAGCATCATAATCACCATTCTCATCATCCTGATCATCATCATCCGCATTATCATCGTCATAATCAGAATCGTCATCAACAAGATTATGATCCTCATCACCAGAATCCCCTTCCTCATCCGCCTATTCGTCCTCCTTCCTCCTCCCTCCTCCCCCGCCCTCTCCCTCCTCCTCCTCCTCCTCCTCCTCCTCGTCCTCCTGCTCCTCCGATTCCTCATCCATCTCCCCCCTCTTGGGGTATGTCGTCTTGCACATGCCTTGATTCCACTGCATGCTCCACCGCATCTCTGATCAAGGTAACTTGTTTGAGCATCGTTTCTGGATGGAATGGTGGGGCTACTTTTTGATCGCGAGCGCACCGGAAACGCCGGACGCCGTCCGGAACTCGGAACTAGCGAGCTACGTCCTTAATTGCGCACAGGAGGGAGGAAGAGGGAGACGACGAGAGGACAGCGGAAGGAGGAACAAACAGGAGGCAGGCCTCGCTGCCGCTCAGAGAAGGGCGAAAGGCTGGTAGGGTTACTTTTTTGCTCGCGAGCGACGCGGTCAGCCGCGCGACGTCAAATAAAGTCGAAAGAGTAGCGCAACCCTGTTGTCGCAAGCGCGATGCGGAAAAAGGGGCCACAAGGGTGGCGAAAGCTACAAACCCGAGACAGAGGCAGGAGAAAGCGAAGAGGCGGCCGAGGGCGAGAACCGAAGAGCGGAAGAGCAAGGAGAAGAGAAACGAGGGGGGCGAAAAGAAAAGAAAACACGACAGAGATGGAAACGCGCCGCAGATCAGGCTCAAACCACGCCGAAGACGAAGCCCCTTGCCGAGGAGCCGGAACGTATAGTAGCGCGTCATGCCCAAGCCAAAGCACACAGTTGGGGGTCGCGAAGTGGCCACTGACGCGAGAGGAGCGTAAGCGTAAAACACGCCGTCACGTCCAACAGGTCATCTCCAGGACCGTGTATTCTACGCTGGTGGGGTTACGCCAAGCGTCCAAAATGTCACAATTTCTCGCGACGTTGGGGCGATATTTCGAAATTTCGCGCGGGCCCTGGCATGGTGTTGTTTAAATGAAACTGCGCCGCATGAAATTCCGGAATTTCGCGCCACCCCATCATGGGTTTCTGTTGGGTTGGTTTGGATAGTCCGGGGATCAATTGTGTTCAGTTGTGGGTTTATTTTGGGTCTGCTTGAGGTATTTAATTGGCCTATGCTGGCTCTAACGTGTGCCTATCTGTTGCTGACGCCTGATCGCCTGATCCCGTCACGAAAACATGCCGACGCGGACGCTGATGGCGATGACGAGGACTGTGACAGTGAAGTGCCCCGTGGAAATAAGGGCGGCATGTAGCGGTGAGGTCCGAGGATGCCGCGCTGCCAATGCGCAGACAAACACCGTGTTATGTTGCATCCTCGGGGGACCTTGCCTGTACTGTCGCGGCCCTTTTCGCGTCGAATCCGTGTCGAATCCGTGTCGGCCTCGTCGGATCCGTGTCGAACCCGTGTGGTTTCCGCGTCGAATCCACGCCGAATCCGCGTCGAGTCCGCATCGAGCCCGCGTAAGGCACAACAAAAGACACCAATTTGGGGGACAGGCGAGGTCCCTCAAGGATGCAACGTAAACTGGGATGCACAAAGACGTACTAGTACTATATGTCATCCTTGGACGCGCGCGTCCGACCAGAACATATAGTATACCCATCTTGTAGTATATCGTTTCCCGAGCGGTGTGGCCAGAATGCGCCCGCCACAACGCATATACTATAAGATTCCTCGGTGCGCGCGTCGCCCCTGGGGGGGCGACGAACACATAGTATAAGTATGTTGGGGGGATGCCGATAAACCGTGGCGCCATTCAGCGCCAGATCGGAGCGGTAGCACGGCCAACGCAAGGGTCGCGCAGAGGTCGCGCGGGCGCACAGACTCTCGCGCGACACCGACCTGGACTTATGTTGCTCCCAGAAGGCCACATCCCAGTCAAGGGCCCATGAACTTATGTTCAGTTACAGAACTGATAGGACTGAAACTACGTTGCATATCTTTAACTTACAGGAAGCCTCCCCTAGACTCATGTTGCTCCCAGAACTGATGAGACTGACTATTTCTGGGATGAAGGGCCACATCCCATAAATAGTGCCGAACGGGTATCGCCTCCCTGGACCCGACACGTGAAAACCCTCCGGTTTCGGTGTTTTTTTTGGTGCTTGGAAGTCTTTCTGGTGATCAAGGGTAGGTTGGAGCATCAAAACCTTTACAGCGCCAAGCGCAGATCACAACTGGGGCAGCACAAAAGCAGTCTCAACGACGCGCCACCTTTGGGGAAGCAATCGGCGTGTCGCTGTTGCAGAATCGCCAGCCCATCGGACAAAAACGAGAGAAAACACGCTGGCGGGCTCCCGTCGGCAGCGCGTCATTGATAACTACTCCTTTCCCTTCCCAAACGACGGGGTGGGCTGCAACGCAGTGATCGCCGATCTCCACCGCCCTACGCCCGAAGACGGCGACCGTGGCTCGACGATCGACGACGCGCACGTGCGAGCCGAAGGCCACGTTGGTTCCCATACCCTTTGAGAAATCACGGCTGGCGACGCGCACGCTGAGGCAGAACACGCCCGTGCTCATCCGCACACCCTCGGGGATCTACTGACCCGGGTCAGTCTGGACCCAGGCCAGTGAGGCTTTGCAGGATCCTGCAAGATCCTGCAGGACCCCGCAAGAGCCTGCACGCAAGCTCTGGTTAAATGCTCCCCGTGGCTCTGCAGGATCCTGCAAGATCCGGCGCTCTGACTGACCCCCGATTGCATTGACCCCCGTCTCTTGAGCCCCGATGAAAGGCGGGGAGAGGAGGAGGAGGAGGAGGAGGAGGAGGAGGAGGACGAGGAGGCGGAAGAGGAGGATGAGGAAAAGGAGGAGGAGGAAGAGGAGGAGGAGGAGGAGGAGGAGGAGGAAGTGGTGGAGGAGGAGGAGGAGGAGGAGGGCAAGGAGGAGGAGGAGGCAGAGGAGGAGGGTGAGAGGGGGGGGGAAGAGGAGAAGTGCTTTCCGTCAGCGACGTCTTCGGCGTGCAAGCGCGGGAGCCGCAGCAGGATGTCCACGATCGCCCCCCCAGGGCGCCTCCCGGGGGCCGCCCGCTCCTCTGGCAGGTCGGCCATCGGACGGCACTCCGAGGGCTGCGCGCTGTAGCGGCAGCAGCCCGACCAGCAACAAGGGACAAGTGATGGACGGACCGGGATAGAAGAAGGAAGGGGGGGGGGGAAGGGCGGCGGGGAGGACGAAGAGGGGAGGAGAAGAGGGGGGAGGAGAGGAGAGGGGAGGGAGGGAACGGGAGGACTTGAGTGACTGGAGGGAAGGGCGGGACAGGGCGGCGAGGAGGAAGGAGAGGGGAGGACAAGAGGAGAGAGGACGAGATTGCAAGGGGAGAGAGAAGTCAAGAAGAGAGGAGGACAAGAGGAGAGAGAGAGAGAGAGACAAGTTTCAAGAGGACAAGAGGACAAGAGGAGAGAGAGGACAAGAAGAAAGGACAAGAGGAGAGAGGACAAGAGGAGAGAGGGGAGGACAAGAGGGCGAGGACGAGTAGGGCGCCACCACAAGCGCCCGACCATGAGGTCTCGCCCGCACCACGCATCCTGCTGCTGCTCGCACGCGTCAAGACCGGCCTGGGGGCGCAGGGCAGATGACCTCCCTCTCTACTGGACCACCGCGTTGCCTTCCACCTCTCCCTCCTCCCTCGCTTCTCCTCCTCGCCCTCCTCCTCCTCCTCCTCTTCCTCCTCTCCATCTTCTTTTTCTTATTATTCCTCCTTCTCCTTCTCCTCCTCCTCCTCCTCCTCCTCCTCCTCCTCCTCCTCCTCCTCCTCCTCTTCCTCCTCCTCCTCCTCCTCCTCCTCGTTTGGCGGGCCCTGTGTGCGCCTAGACACGAGCCACCCCCCCGAGCGCCGCCGAGAGCGCGACGATGGTGTGGGGCCCCGCGACGAACCAATAGCCGTGCAGCACCACGCCTCCTGCAGCGCCCCGCAGCCGCCCAGCCGCCTGGCCGGCGAGCTCGGCGGCCAGCCGGGCGGCACCCTCGTCGGCGTGCTCGAGCTCGAAGGAGGTCCGCAGCTGCCGCGCCGTGGCGCCGTGGAGCGCGCAGCTGAGCTCCGTGCCCTGGCGGCGAGAGCCAGCGCGCTTGCTGCCGCCTGGGCCTCTGGCCCGTCCCCCAGCGCCTGGGCCCAGCCCCGGGCGGGGGCCAGCGCCTGTGGCGCAGGTGGCGCAGGGCCGTCGGGCCCGGGCGGCCCGCCGTCTCCTGGGCCAGCGGGATCAGCGGCTAAGGGGCCCGCCGCTCGGGGTGGCAGCGGCGCTTGTTCGCTTCCCCCCCCAGGCAGCGACCGCGCCATCGGCGTCTGCGGCCGCCGCCAGGGCGTGGGCGCCCCCCGGCATGCTGTGACAGACGGTGACGTCCGCTGGCAGCCGAGGGCAGTCGCCGCGCCGCGCCTCCAAGGCAAGGAGGGCCTCCTCGCGCGGGGAGAAGCGGGCCACGGCATCAGGGAAGCCCGCCCCCCGCCCCCCAAGTTCGTGCTCCTGCCGTGGGCTCCGGACATCTGCCCGCGCTCGTGTTTGCCAGCCGAAGGGAACCCTGCGGCAAGAGAGGGAGAAACGCCTCCTCCTCCTCCTCCTCCTCCTCCTCCTCCTCCTCCTCCTCCTCCCAGAGAGAGAGAGAGAGAGAGAGGAGAGAAAGAGAGAGAGAGGGAGAGACGGGCCACGGCATGCGAATCATTGCGAATCTCGCCCCCCAAGCTCGTGCCCCACCCGCGGGCTGTGGACGTCTGCCGGGCCCTCAGGGGCGGGAAGGTGTCCGCAGGCCTCTTTTGCCCTGCCAGCCGAGGGGAGCCCCGCGGCAACGGAGGAGAAGCGGCGACGCCGGCAGGGTCCTCGATGCTCCCAGGCGGCCCCAGATGCCCCAGGATGGCCCAAGGTTTAGGTCGGGCCTGTCCCCCTACAGGGGGATTTTGGAGGAGAAATAAAAAATACTCGAAAAATGCTCAGAAAAGATGTCCCAAAATACTCAAAAAATAATCCCCTGACTATTTATTACTATTACTATTTTTGAATATTCCTCCTCTAGATGGACAAGCCCGACTTAATCCAAGGTGCTCCAGGACGGCCCAGAGCTTCTGGCGCTGGCCTCGACACTGTTTCGACACTCTTTCGACACCTTTCCGGGTGCTCGCAACTATTTCTGGGATGTGGTCCTCAAGTCGGATGGGAGCCACAGAACCCAGGATGGCCCAAGGTGCTCCGGGACGGCCCGGAGCTTCTGGCGCTGGCCCCGCCTGGAGCAGCGCACCCGTCCCAGCGAGGCCGTGCGGGGGCGGGGCGGGGCCCGTGCACGCCGCTGCTGGCGGGGTCCCCTCTCGAGGTCCCGCGGCCCAGCCCCTGGCGCGCAGGCGTAGACACGGTCGAGGACCGGGGAGGCTCGCGGATCGTGGTATCGAAGAGGCTCGAGGATCGAGGAGGTTCGAGCAGGGCTGAACCTAAACGGTGCTTTTCGTTTTCGCTTTGTGTTCGTGTTCCTTCGCTTTTGCCTCGAATCCAGCTCTACCGCAAAACGAAGTCGAAATGAAAACGGCCCACGAAATCGCCAAAACACCGTTTAGGTCCAGCCCAGAATCGTGGTATCGAAGAGGCTCGAGGATCGAGGAGGTTCGAAGATCGGGGATCGGGGTACGGTGGGTCCGTGTCGTGTCGACTGGCGGTGACCCCGCAGCCGGCGTTCGACGCTGAACGCCGCCGGCGACCCAGAATCGGTCGATGTTGAACGATCTGACGTTTCGGAGACGGCCGATCGTTCAAGGTTGAACGATCCCCGCGGTGTCAGGAACCAATGCTGAAGTCGACGCGACACGAACCTGCCGTACCAAGCTGGCCACCAGATGCAGGGTTCACGAAGGAAGGTGGATCGGACGCTGGAGGGCATGCTAGCACTGTGCGCTGTGCATTCTGCGACCCCCTTGGAGGCGCACCCCCGAACCGAACACACAGCACAGACGTCTTACAGTATCTCGGTGCCCTGACGGATCATATTCATGATTTCTGGGTGCGCGCGTCGCCGCTGGGGGGGCCGACGCACGAATCGTAGAAGCATCTTCGGGTGATGCCGACCGCATTCTCTCGGATGTTACTCAAGGGGCCCCGGGACACACGAATAAATGCACACAAATACAAAGGTGTCCCATAGTTTCCTATACTTCCTGGGTTTATGTCTTCCCCCCCACTTCCCATACTTTCCTACATTTTCTGGGGAATCGACGATTAATTGTGTCTGTGTGTTTCTTTCCCTCCTGAGTTACCTGCAGGAGTGGAGGCAACAAAGCGGTGACCATGATCAAAACTGAACGCGGAAACGTCGGCGCCGATCTCGGTCGCCGTCCATCTCGGCCACCGAGAACTCGCGGATGCTCCCCGCGAGTCGGCGACGGCCAGCACGGACCATGACCAAGACCGGCGTGGACAAAATCCCACGACACCTTGGTCTTAGGTCGGGCCTGTCCCTCTACAGGGGGATGTTGGACGACAAATATGATAACGTACTCAAAAAAAATACCCAACAGATGCGCAGAAATCCTTCAAACATATGTCCCAAGGTATTTTTTGACTAATTTTGAATATTCCCCCTGGAGAGGGACAGGCCCGACTTAGCCTTGGTCACGGCCATCATGCGTCTTCCCTCGACGCCGGCACTCCGTCGTGCGGGGGCGCGCACGCCAGGATCGAAGCCGCGGGGGGGGCCACAGGGCCGCGCCTCGAACAGGGCCACCACGGGGTCGAAGACCGCGGGCGCCACCGCCGCCGGCTTCGTGCCCTCCAGCTGCGTGTGCGTGGCCTCGCGCCGAGGCGACCGCGCGCACGAGCGAGGCCTCGTGATGAGTATCCTCCTCCCGGAAAGGGCAAGAGCTTGTCGCTGCGCCTGGCCCCGTGGTGCAATGTACATGGCGCAGGCTGTGTGGGGAACGCTACATGGTGTAGCTCACGTCGTGCAAGCTATGTGTTGCAGGCTAGGTGGTTCAAACTCGATGGTGCACGCTATGTGATACAAGCCATCTGGTGTAATCTGTACAAGAGCCGCAACATTAACAGTAGTAGCAAGATCAACAGCAGCAACAACAACAATAATATTATACATATGAGCCACGAGGCGGCCACATAGCGAAAACGCAAACCCATGCCAACGCACGCGGCGAAAATCCAGAACGTCATGGCAAGTACTCAAGAAGCTGAACCCCTAAATGCAAGCACTGTTTTGGGGGAACGAGTGAGCGGCCAGAAAACTGCGAAAGCACGGATCTCAAGTGCAAGCAGACGTCTGCGAGCTTCGAACGCGTCCTGGGATGTCAGGCGGCGCGGCAAGAGTTGCTGCTTCGCAGATGGCGGCCTGCAAGCTGGAGGATACTCCGATGCGGCAGGAGGCCTCTAAAGGCGGAGGGACGAGACGATCAAGGTGGAGAAAGGAGAGGAGAGACTGCATCACAAGCGGCGGCGCCAGTGGAAGTGCCGCGAATGCGGCCCCTCAAACACCTGAGGACATCATCGGCGGCCACCGAAGCAGAGGCAACGATACCAGGGATACTAGGTAAGAGAAGCTGATGCAGGCGAGTGCCTCTCACGCCTCTCACACGCTGCTGTGGCTGTGAACCCTAGCGCAAGTCAAATTGTTCGGCCTCATTTCTGACGCTTCATGGGGCCGTCGTGATGCCAATGAGGGGATCTCTTTCGTCAAGAAGTCTAATGCAATCTTGCCTGCTGTGAATGCGAGGTCGACAGAGGGTGCGCGGTGTACTCTTCCGTGCGGCGAGGGGCAGGAGGAGGAGGTGGAGGAGGAGGAAGCGGGCAGCGAGGAACGAGCAGGGAGGCGGACGGAACCAGAAGGGAGGAGGTGGGGAGGGCGGAGATGGGCCAGACGCGTTAATTACCGAAAAACTCCCTGGAATCCAAAAGGTACCGATACCGCTACTCCCTGGACCTCTCCCGGGGCGCGGTCTGACCAGGATTTCGAGGCGAATCCAGCGGTGGCGACGAGGGCCTCCTGGGAGGCCCAAAAAGGGGAAAACGGGGGGAAGGTGGGGGCATGGGTACCTTTTCCTCCTCCGATCTCCAGGGAATCCCAGGAACTCCCCTGGGCCCTCCCCCAGGAAACGCCCGAGGACACGGTGTGGGCCCCTCGGAAGCGCCGCCGGCCCTCGGGCACCTCGTGAACCCGAGACCCTTGGGGCGAGGCCTGCATGACTCAGGAAAGTGCCTTGGGTGGCGAATGCAGTCGGCCTTGAATGGACAGGACACGCGAGAGGACACAAGACCCTTCCGAGGGCAACATGGCCATGGGGGATGTAGGAGGCATGGCTCGCGAAGCACAGATTACAAGGGTATCGGCATTGGAGAATGTCTCGGGCGCCGTGGCCTTCAGAGAGCGTTCCCTAAACGCTCTGAGAGCGCTCCAGAACGCTTTGGAACGGATTTATCCTCGTCCTAGCAACGTCCGAGCGAAGCTCCGCTGACACGCGAGGATGGAGCGGAGCGCCACATGAATTCGTGTGCCTCTCCTCTCTCAAGTGCGGATACGCCTGCACCAAATGCTTTCGAGCTAACAGAGACGACGCCCACGAAAGCTGCATATAGTACACTGCGCTCATGGTCGAACTGTGCAAACTTGATTCCCAAGGTTGAGCAGAAACGACCCCCTCACGGGCGGCAGCTCTAATCACTGGAAAGAGCTTGTCACAGAATCCTTCTCCTCGTCGTCCTCCGAATCCTCCCACTTCCTCCTCCTCCTCCGCCTCCTGTCCTCCTCCGCCTCTTCCCCTGCTCCTCGTGCTTGCTCCTCCTGCGCCTCCTGCCCAATTGCCTGCTCCACAGCCGAAACTCCTAATGCTCCTCGTGGTGCCGCCGATGCCGCTCGTGACCGCTTCCTCTCCAGCTCCACTGCCGCCGCCTCCCCCCCCCGCTCCTCCTGCTGCTGCTCTTTCGCTGTGGCCCCTCCTCCCCTCCTCCTGCTCGCCCTCGCCCTCCTCGCAGCAGGCCACCCTCGCTCCCTCGTCCCGATGTGCCTTGTCCCCCACCCTCTTCGTCACCCGCGTCCTCCGCGTCCTCCTCGTCCTCGCGCCCCTCCTCCGCCGCCGCCGCCGCTTCCGCTCTTGATGGATCCTGGATTGCGACAAGCGGCCTATGCACGCCGTGCCCCCGTTCGAACCTGACCCACCTCGCTTGAAGTCCAGACAGAGAGAGAGAGAGGGGGAGAGAGAAAGAGAGAGAGGGGGGGGGAGAGAGAGAGAGAGAGAGGGGGGGGGAGAGAGAGAGAGAGAGAGAGAGAGATGGGGAGAGAGAGAGGGGGCGACAACACGGAGGAGCCGCAGCAATACAATCTGATTCCGCTCCAGCCTCGTCTACGGTGAGCACCTCATTGCACAAGGCCTGTGTGGTGGGGCGATCGGCGAATGGACGAAAGGCGGGATATGGGATGGACGGGGGGACAGAGCAGCGCGATGACGCAAAAGGAGAGTAAGTCGAGGATTACGCCAGACAGGGAGAGGAAGGTGGGGGCTACGACAGACCCAGCGCGAGGCCGAGTATCCCCCGCAGCAGTACACTGCAAAACACCACGCTGCAATGCAAAGCAACGCACTGTAGCAGACTGCATGACAGCACAAACTGGTACAACGCTGCGAATTCAAGTAAACGCCAAGCTATGAGACATCAGCCACGCACAACAGGGTTATGCGAATCAATGGTCCACTACACATCAACGCAAAACACATTGAAGCAACGCTGTGCGATGCTATGGAACACACAACAATTCAAACCAATTCAACGTGTGTGCATGCAACGTGACGCAACACCATGCAAACTGACGCAATGTAATGCCAGCCAAAGCATGACATGCTAGCAGGGCAATGTAACGCTAATGAATGCCAAGCAATGCAAAAAAAGATGCACTGCACCATAATGCCAAGCGGGTCCATGCAATGCAATGCAATGCAACCGCGAGCAACAACGCTCCGACGCATAGCGGCACCTTCGATCAACCTCCGATGAGCCTCTTCTCACAGGACTCCGCGGGGGGGGCCAACCAGTCGCCGTCGACACTCTGGCACAGCATGGGTGAGGAACACAGACACTGCCTGACTTGGCAATGATGCTGAAGCTTCCTGTACCAAGGGCTCCTAAGTTCGCGCTTCGCGCTGCGCGAAGCGCGAAGCGCGAATAACTTCGCGCTCTCGCGCCGCCCCCCAAGGGGGAGAAGAGGAGGACGAGGAGGAGGGGGAGGAGGAAGGAGGACGGCGAAGCGCGAAGCGCGAATAACTTCGCGCCCTCCTGGGAGCCCTTGTGCACTGTGAGGCGCCAACGTGGTGCGCGTCTTCCCGCTCGTGCAGGGGGGGGGGGGGGGGCAACGGCACTGGCGAGGTGGAGGCCCGCCACGACGGCACGTCGACGCGCGGCCTCGTCCTCGTCAGCTCCGGGGGTCCTCACCCTCGTCCTCATGGCGGTGGCTCTCCTCGTCGTCCTCGTCCTCGTCCTCGTCGGCCACTCATCCTCGCAGGGGTGGTGCTCCTCCTCCTCATCCTCATCCTCATCCTCATGTTCGTCCTCGTCCTCATCCTCATCCTCGTCATCCTCGTCCTCACCCTCATCCTCACGGGGTGGCTTTCCTCGTCGTCCTCGTCCTCATCCTCGTCGTCCGCTCATCCTCGTAGGGGTGGTGTTCCTCCTCCTCGCACGCCTACGCATCAGACTCCGCACCTGCCTCCGCCTCCTCATCACCATCCTCCCCGAACCGTCATCACCACCAACAACACCATCGTGGCCAGCATCATCATCAGCATCAGCATCACCATCAGCATCATCAGCAACAGCATCATCAACATCGTCATCAGCATCATCATCCGTATCAGCATCACCATCAGCATCATATCGTCATCTGCGTCTTCACCAGCAGCAGTAGTATCAGCATCATCACCAGCATCTTCATCAACAACACCATCCTCCTCCATCATCCTACCCCGCGTCGTCACGAGCCCATTTCACATCATCCGCCACAACCCCCTCCTCCTCCGCCGCCTCCTCTTTATTCTGGCTCATGTGTTCATGCTTCCACATCCTCACCATCCTCATCCCCCCCATCCTCCTTCCTCCCTGTTTCCTCCTCCTCCCCCTCCTCCTCCACCTCCTCCTCCTCCTCTGCATGCAGCTTTGTCCTCTCCCCCCTCCCTCCTCCCCTCCCTCCCTCACCCCGTTCCTGCTTATCCATCGCTCCTCCCAAGTCTCGTCCTGCGTGTCCTCGTCGTCGTTCTCCTCCTCGTCCTCGTCGTTGCCGTCGTCCTCCTCCTCTTCGATGCGGGAGCCTCTTTGGTGAGGAGTGGGGGAGGGAATCATGGACAGAGGAAGCAGGGGAGGAGGAGGGGCGATGGGACGGGGGGTGGGTGGGATGGGAGGGGGGATCTGAGGCGGGAAGTGGGGGGGAGGGGAAGATGGGAGAGGGGGGGAGGTGGCAGGTGGTGGAAAGGGGAGGAGGGACGAGGAGACGACGATGGAGGACGACGACGGGACGTGAACGCAGAGGCCTGTCGCGACGCTGCTGCAGCGCCCCCCCCCCTGCTCCTGCTCCTGCGGACGCTCTCGGGATCCCGCTCCGTCTCCTCCTGCGCACCCGTGCGGGGATCTGGGCCACCGACCTTCGCGCACTGCGCCCCGCGGCGCGCGGTCACACCTTCGCGCCCTCGCGCCCTCGTGCCGGCCCCTTGGAGAAAGGTATCCGCTCTGGACGAGGAGGAGGAGGAGGAGGAGGAGGAGGAGGAGGAGGAGGAGGAGGAGGAGGAGGGGGAGGAGGAGGAGGAGGGAGGAGGAGGAGGAGGAGGAGAGGAGGAAGAGGAAGAGGAGGCGGAGAGAGGGGAGGGCAACGGAGGCGAGGGCTATGGGAGGGTACAGGGGCGGGGAAAGGGGAGAGGGGGGGAGGGCAAGCTTTGGGGAATGCGCAATATTTGACATTTGACACGTCCACCCATGCATTCCCATTGCGCTGTTCTTTGCCTACCCGCGGGCGCGTATTACAGCGGAGCTGGAACTCCCAAACGGACCACATCGTGTCATGCACAATCGTAAGAAGAGGAGCTGTGTGCAAAGGAGGAGGAGGAGGAGGAGAGGAGGAGGAGGAGGAGAGAAGAGAAGAGAAGAGAAGAGAAGAGAAGAGAAGAGAAGAGAAGAGAAGAGAAGAGAAGAGAAGAGAAGAGAAGAGAAGAGAAGAGAAGAGAAGAGAAGAGAAGACGGAGGAGGAGGAGGTGGCGGATAAGCAGGCGGATGAGCAGGGCGAAAGGAAGAGGATAAGGAAGGAGGAGGACGAGGACGAACAGCAGCAGCAGGAACTGGAAGGACGGAGTAGGAGGAGCGGGAGGAACACGAGGACCAGGGGAAGGCGGAGGAGGGGAAAGGAGGATGGCGACAGCGAGGAGGAACGACTCGGGTCCAGAAACGTGGCCCGAGCTGGGACGAGAGCGACATTCTGAACGACGGGAGCAAAGCTCCGATTCCAAAATGAGGCCCACGCTGCAGCGGGATCACCATTTTGGAAGGACCGAAAACGCTCGGATTGGAAAACCACAACAAACAATGTCTGAACTCCTGTGTCAAAAGCATGGCATGAGAGGTCGGGACATTCTCAACATGTCTTCAGGGGAGCGGGGATAGTTGTGTTCATATTGTGCAAATTGTGCGCAGTGTGCGGGGGGGGGAGGGGGAGGGGGAGGGGAGGCGTAGGGTGGATGGGAGGCGTGGGGTGGACGGGAGGCGTAAGGTGGACGGGAGGTGTAAGGTGGACGGGAAGTGAAGCGAGGAGGATGATGTGAAGGAAGCGGTGTCACCGCCCTGCAGCGAGGCCTTGCCGTGGCCGTCTCCCAATTACCAAAGAAGAGTCTGCGCCCGAGGTGACGGTAGGCACACCAGTGGGCACCACGCATTCTCCTCCTCCTCCTCCACCTCCTCCTCTTGCTTGTCCTCCGGTATCGTCCTCACCTGTCGTATCATCTCCCTCCTCTTCCTCCTCCTCCTGTTTATCTTCCTTCACTTACTTCGCCTCTTCCTCCCTCCTCCACCTCGACATCCATCTCCGCTTCCTCTTCCTCCTTCTCCCCCCCCTGATCTGTGATTCCGTCCTCCTCCCCGTGCTCCCCATCTTCTGCTGCTCCCTACGCACCCCCGATCTCCTTCTCATCCTCCTCAATCCATCCCCTCCTCCTCCTCCTCCTCCTCATCCTCCTCCTCCTCCTCCCCCTCCTCCTCCGCCGCCGCCGCTGCCGCCGCCGCCGCCTCCATATCCCATAGATTTCGGATCATAACTCGGCTCTCACGCAGCCGTTCGAGGCGATTCCGGCACCCCTGGAAAGCTCTTGGCAAACGCAACTGCTGGACGGCATCCCGAGGCTTGCGAACCCGCAACGAAAACCTACGGAAACATCGGAAAATCTCGAACCTCGGCCTCCTCCTCCTCCTCCTCCTCCTCCTCCTCCTCCTCCTCTCTCCTCCTCCTCCTCCTCCCTCCTCCTCTCCCTCCTCCTCCTCCTCTCCTCCTCCTCCTCCTCCCCTCCTCCTCCTCCCCCTCCTCCTCGTCCTCCTCCTCCCCCTCCCCTCCTCCTCCTCCTCCTCCTCCTCCTCCTCCTCCTCCTCCTCCTCCCCGTGCCTGACGCCCTCCGTCGCGCCTGCACCACCGCCGCGCGCCGGTGCGCGTCGGGCATCCCGCGCCGGAGCTGCTCCAGGTGGCCCCTCACCTCGGCCTCGACGGAGGGCTTGAGGTCCTCCCCGGGCCGGGCGAAAGGGGGGGAATAGCACAGGGGGGGGTTGAGAATCAGCTCACGTAGCTGATTTCCCTGGCGCCTCCCGGCGCCGGGAGGCGCCCATGCATCGAGGACTGTGCCCAGCGACGGGGCCGAAACCAGCGGCATGCAGCAGACTTCGTAATCCCCCCTTTCCCTATCCCCCCCTTTCGTCCGGCCCGGTCCTCCCCGGGCAGGAGGGAGCCCACGGCTCGGCGGCGAGCTCAAGGGGGGTGTCCGAGGGGGCGGGCCTGCTCAGAAGGCTCGGAAGGCCCCCCACCTCCTCAAAACACACACACACACACACACACGCACGCACGCACGCACGCACGCACGCACGCACGCACGCACGCACGCACGCACGCACGCACGCACGCACGCACGCACGCACGCACACACAAAAAAAAATCTCAACCTGCTCCCGAGATGTCGACGGCCTCTCAAGAAGGCCAGAGGGCTCCCGAGCAGGCCCGCAGGCCTGCCCCCTCTCGCTTTCCCCCTGAGTTCGCCGCCGAGTGGCCGAAGAGCCAGCACCCTCCTACTCCTCCCTCCTCCTCCTCCTCCTCCTCCTCCTCCTCCTCCTCCTCCTCCTCCTCCTCCTCCTCCTCCCCCTCCTCCTCCTCCTCCTCCTCCTCCTCCTCCTCCTCCTCCTCCTCGGGTTTGGTTCGGGAGCTTCGGGGTTCGAAGCTCGAGGTTCTCGGGCGTGCTCGTCGCTTCTCAGCGGTTTTCCACCCTGGGATGCGCTCCGACAGCTGCGCCTCGACGAGAGCGTTCTGGGGGTGCCCGAATCGTCTCGAACGGCCACTGGAGAACTGATAACATTCCCCCCGAGCCACAAGGCGTAGGCGTGCGGGGGGCTTCTCAGAAACCCTCTCCTCTGGCCTCCTTGATGATGGTGATGGTGACGATTATGATGCTGATGATGGTGGTGGTGGTGATGGTGATGATAGTGGTGATAATGATGGTGCTGATGATGGTGATGGTGATGGTGATGGTGACGGTGACGATGACGATACTAATCATGCTGCTGCTGATGATGATGATGATGGTGATGATGGCAATAATGATAATGGTGATCACGATGAACATGATGACGGTGATGGTGCTGGCAATGATGACGACAATGACGATGACGCTGATGATGATTATGATGATGATGGTGATGATGATGATAATGCTGATGGTGGTGGTGGACCACCACCACTGGTGGTGATGCCTATGCTGATGCTGATGATGTTGTTGTTGGTGGTGGTGGTGATGATGGTGATGATGATGGTGATGGTGACGAGGATGCGAACGATGATGATGATGCTGATGATGCTGATGATGATGATGACGATGATGATGATGATGATGATGATGATGATGATGATGATGATGATGATGATGATGATAATGATGCTGATGATGATGATGCTGATAGGAGGAGGAGGAGGAGGAGGAGGAGGAGGAGGCAGGGTGGAGGAAGGAGGACGGGGAGGGGGAGGGGGGAGGGCTGGGTGTCCTCTTGGCAGGATGGGGGAGGCGGGAGATGCACGGTGTCTGGAATGGGGGATGAACTGGAATGGATATGTGCTCCTGAACCTTTTACGCGACCGACGACTATATATACACATGTACATGTGATACTCGAAGAAGCATGCACCGCTAGTGTCCGAAAACAAACATATTGCCGCCACTTCCCACTGCCTTGACGACGACGAGGGAGGGAGGAATGTGGCAACCCGAGGAGAACGGAGGATGAACTACTCCCTCTCACGCAAAATACCTCCTCGTCACCCTCTCCTATCCCTCCTGGCAATGCCGCTACCCCTCGAGTTTCCGCTCCACGCCTGTACCCGAGTGCGCCATAGTGCGACCGCCGCAACACTGGGACCGCTCTCTGCCGTCCGTATGTCGCGATGCAAAGAGTCTGTCGTAGCCCTTCTCCCATCGATGCCCACCGTGAGTCGCCGCTAGTCTGGTGTGCAGCGCGAGATCGTGCGCAACGTCGAAGCTCGGGTACACAGGCGTCGACGTGGAAAGGAATGAGCCTTCCTGCCCAAAGAGAACAGCTTTCCTGCCAGTCATTTCAGTTATTTGTCGTTTGCTTGAAGCCCTGCCACATCGCAGCGTTGCTGCCTTCATACTCGGATCGCCAAAAACAACGACGATTGACTAGCTATGCGCAGGGGGTGTACATCGTCACATGACATGAAGACGATGTCACGAAACGTCTGAATTGATTGTGTGCATGGCGACACGGTGCACCCATACGTTAGTACCGGCATGTGCGATGAGACTGCTCAGGGCGACGAGGTGTTATGGAACCATGAAGATCAGGGTGAGGATGGGGACGAACGAGGAAGGGGAGGAAGGGGGAGAATGAGAGAACATAGGATGAGGAGGCGGAGGTGGAGGACAGGTGAGTATCGGAGGGGACGGGAAGGATGAGGAGGAAATGCGAGGATGCAGGGGGATGGGGAATGAGCATGGGGGCAGGATTGGGACGAACATGAGGACCTGGACGCGGATGAGGAGGGAAGAGGAGGATAATGAGGGAAGAGGGGGAGAAGGGATACTGAAGGAGGAGGAGGAGGAGGAGGAGGAGGAGGAGGAGGAGGAGGAGGGGAGGGGAGACGGAGCACAGTGCGCCGCGGAGAGTAAGGATCAACACGAATTCGTCGCAGTTGGGCTCAAGACTGGTTCCCCATCGGCAAAACCATGCAAAAACCCCTGGGACAGAACTGAACGAATGGGGGGGTGTCGCAGGAGAAAGTCAAGAACCCACCGGCCTCTCATGGAAAAAAACAGCAGTTGGCTCTCTCTCCCTACAACGATCCACTCTACGGGTCCGCTGACTGGACGTCTTTACCCTTCCTCCCCGCCCCGATGCCATTCTTAGCGAGCCTTTCGAACCTGGGCTCCTGGGTGGTGGCACCCCGAAGGGGGAGTGAACTTGCCTGGGCAGAGGTGCACTGACTCTTCAGGAGAGCATCGGCCCAGGAGGGGGCGAGAGGAAGGGCGGGAGCGTGGACGAGATGGAGGAGGAAGGAGGCTGGAGGACGCATGGCAGAGGACGGACGAAGGAGGGAGGAGGAAGGATTTTGATACTAAGGAGGAGGCAGGAGGCACGAAAGAGCATGAGGATGAGGAGTGGGAAACAAGGAGGCAGGAGGTACGAAGGAGGCGGAGAAGGAGGAAACGGACGACGACGAGGGAGAACGAGGGAAAGACGATTTGGACGCCCGAAATGGGTACGGAAAAAATGGGCACAATGCCCAACAACAAATGTTGCCTCAAACCAACAGCGACGGCTGTTGGGCAGGCGGCCTTCTGTCTCAAATGTACACAGGTCGCGGCGACACCGACAGCGAGTCCGGTTGGAAATGAACAGGAACCGCTGTTGGGCATTGTACCCATTCTTTCCGTACCCATTTCGTTCGTGCCAATAACACGCAGTGGGCCCATTTCGTTCGTTTCTCTCCGTACCCATTTCGTTTCGTCCATTTCGTTCGTTTCGTTCGTTGCCGAGACGAGGACGGAAGTGACGCAGCCTCAGGACGAGCGGGAGGACCCGGCGCAGCAGCAGCCAGCGGCGAGGGACCCGCCCCCCGCGGCGTCCCCGGAGAAGAGGCGGCACACCTGCGGCCGCAGCTTCGCGACCATCTGGTGCGTGGACGCCTCCGGGGAGCCCCGGGGGGGAGGGGGGCTGCCGGGGGGCAGGCCGCCGGGGTACTGGAGGAGGCACGGCGGAGCGGTCCCCCTCGATCCTCCCTCTCGCCATCGCTTGGACGTCCATTCCCTGTGTTTTTTTCTGGTTTCGTGCGTGCTTTTTTCGCCAAGTGGTCAAGGATGCTCCTCGATGGCCCTCGCCGAAGGAAACATGCACACGTCCGAGCGATGCCAAGCCCTCCGTCTCCCTCTTTCCCCCCTCGACGGCCGGGCAGGTTGCCAGGGGCTGCGGGACATCTGGAACGACCACCCTTGGAGGAGGAGGAGGAGGAGGAGGAGGAGGAGGAGGAGGAGGAGGAGGAGGAGGAGGAGGAGGCCCGGGGCGAGGTCGGACCAGGCCGGGCCGGGGCAGAGCCTGCCCGTCCCCTGGTCGGGACACAGCCGGGTCGGGACAGATCCCAGATAATCTCTGAGATCCGGCGGCTCTGCGGGATCTGTCGGGCGCCGCGGCCTTCTCGGAGCGTGCCGGGACGCGCTGAGAGCGTTCCGGAGCGCGCTGGAACGGCTTAAGTCCCGATCCTGGGCCCGACTTGCTGCTCCCTCCTACCTCTACCCCCCGCCCGGGCGCCCCAAGGAGCGGAGGAAAGGATGGAGAAGGAGAGGGGGTGGGGGGCAGGGGGGGAGGAGAGGCGGAGAGATGGAGGGGGGGAGGGCAAGAAGTGAGGGGGAAGGAAGAGGGATGTAGGCAGGGGGAGAAAGTGCGGGGAGGGGGGGGGGTTAGGCGGAGGAAGGAGGGAAGCGGAGAGAGGGGCGAAAGACTGAGAGAGGAGGGATGGACGGAGAGAGGGAGAGGAGCGAAGGACGAGAGTGCCCGGAGCAGGGGCAGAATGATCAGGAGCTCTCTCTCTTTTTGTCTCTCTCCTCCTCTCTCTTTCTCTCTCTCACTCTCTCTCTCTCGCTCAATTAATCGATATCACCATCGCTATGGCTCTCTTCATATTCATGCACCTCCGTGGCATGATCCCCTCGCCCAGGTCTCTCTGCATGCATCCTCAGGGTGATACCTCTCTGTCTCTCCTTTCGTTGTACATCTCTTTCAGATGCAAGCATGTGCATTCACGTACAGCTAGACATCTACATACATGCATGCTGTCTATCACTATGCATGTATATGTATGTATGTATGCATGCATGCATGCATGTATGTATGTATGTGTGTATGTATGTATGTATGTACAGGATCCCGCCTGACCTAAGGAACGAGAAGTAAGGAACGAAGCCCATGTTTTTCAAGTAAGTCTACGAAGTCCGAAAGAACGACCGAGCCCCTTTCTAGCGGCGTTCCGCCACGATTTGCTTTTGCGATTCGACCCCCGCCCCTTCTGCAAACACAAAGGAACGCATGAAAACCAAAAGAACGACCGAACCCCTTTTGAAAAACAAGTGTTCCTTATTCAAGCCAGATCCTGTATGTATGCATGCATGTATGTATGTGTATGCATGTGTGTATGCATGTATGTATGCATGTATGTAGGTATATACGCATGCATGTGTGTATGCATGCATGTATGTATGCATTTCCATGTGTGTGCGTGTGCATGTGTGTGTATGTGTGCATGTATGCATGCATGCATTTATCATTGTGTGTGTATGCATGCATGCATGCATGTATGTACGTGTGCATGCATGCATGTATGCACGCACGCACGCATGTATGTATGTATGCATGTATGCATGCATGTATGTAGTTATGTATGTATGTAGGTATGCACGCACGCACGTATGTATGCACGCACGTACGTACGTATGTAGCTATGTGTGTATGTATGTTGTCATGCATGCATGCATGTGCTCGTATGTATGTATGCATGTCTGTCTGTCGGTATGTCGGTATGTATGTATATTTGTATGTATGCATGTATACATACATACATGCATGCATTCATGCATGTATGTGCGTGTATGCATACAGGTATGCATGACTGCATGCATGTAGGCATGTATATGTGTATGTATGTGTGCGCTTGCGTGTGTGTGTGTGTGTGTGTGTGTGTGTGTGTGTGTGTGTGTGTGCGTGCGTGCGTGCGTGCGTGCGTGCGTGCGTGCGTGCGTGCGTGCGTGCGTGCGTGCGTGCGTGCGTGCGTGCGTGTATGTTTGTGTGTGTGCGCGTGTGTGTGTGTGTGTATGTGTGTGTGTGCGCGCGTGTGAATCCGCCACCGCGGCGCAGGCACTCTGAGGAGTGCCCTCAAGCCCCTCCGAGTCCGCCGCATCGCACACTGGAAACGGCGCTGTCTGCCGCTACTGGCAGGCCCACCCGCCCCGGTGCGGACCGCCTCCCACTCCGAACCAGGGGGGGCGGAGCCGACCTCCCTTCCCCCCCCCCCCCCCCCGGGGTTCGAGCCAGGGTGGGCGGGGACAAAGGGGGGCTAAGAGGCCCCCCCCCCTTGGGGGTTCGAGCCCGGGTGGGCGGGCTCCGCAAAGGGCGACGACGACGGCGACAACGACGACGACGACGACCACCACCACCACAACGACCACGACCACGACGGCGACGACGACGACGACGACGACGGTGGCGACGATCACGACGTCGACGACGACGACGACTGAGCGCTAGTGGGATGCTAGTGAATCTGGATCGAACCCTGTTACGGCGGCATCAAGGCTAGATCGACCCCTCGCAGGATTCTATCGAACCTGCATCCAGACGATAATACAATGGTATGAACATTGTTTAGACCGAAACCTAATACGATCGCATTAGAGCTGGATCCAGCCCATAGGATTCCAGTACTGTTGGATCGAGGCTTACTGGGATTCCATTAGACCTGGATCCAGCCCTTGTAGCAGGATTCGACTACAGCTGGACACAGTCTTTGTAGGATTCCATTCGAGCTGGGTCCAGCCCCACGACGATTCGAGCCCTTTTGTAGGATTCCACTATATGTAGATCCAGCCCTAGTGGGCTCTATCAGGACTGGATCCAGCCTTTCTAGGATTCTAGAAGAGCTGGAATATTATAAGTAGTAGCAGGATTCTATGAGAGCTGCATCGATCCCTCGTCGTCGTCGTCGTCGTCGTAGTCGTCGGCGGCGGCGTCGCCTTATTGCATTGAATGGCCCCCCGCCCGCCCGACCGGAGTCGTTGGTGTCATATGCATTCTTCGGTCTTGTCACAGACTGCACTTTACATTCAATGTCCCGCCCGCCCGCCCGAGTGGACCACCCATCACCGAGCAAGAGTTGCATTTCATGTCCCGCCTGCCCGACCGCCGCCGTCGTCGTCGTCGTGGTCGTCGTCGTCGTGGCTGTGGTCGTCGTGGTCGTGATCGTCGTCGTCGTCCTCGTGGTCGTCGTGGTCGTGGTCGTCGTGGTCGCCGTGGTCGTGGTCGTGGTCGTGGTCGTGGTCGTGGTCGTGGTCGTGGTCGTGGTCGTGGTCGTGGTCGTGGTCGTGGTCGTCGTCGTCGTCGTCGTCGTCGTCGTCGTCGTCGTCGTCGTCGTCGTCGTCGTCGTCATCGTCGGCGTCGTGGTCGTCGTCGCCCTCGGGGCCGGCTGCTGCGCCTCCCCTCCCCCCCCAGCTGGCTCGAATTCCGGGAGGGGAGGGGGGGCGTCTCACCCCTCCACCCTTCGACTAGTGAATCGACTACAGATTTGATGTGCTCCAGAATTGGTCTTCCCGCCGAATGGACAAGAAGCGCGCAACACAATGCTCGTAGATCTACGGGACATTTGACGTATTTGTTCCTGGATTCGGCGGGGAAATCAATGTGGGGTCAAATCGATTCTGTAATCGATCCCCTACTCGAACCCTGGTTCGAGCCGCCGGGGGGTTGAGGGGGGGGAGGGCCTGCGCCCCTCCCCCCCCCGTCTCCCGGGAAGGGGGGTCCCGGAGAGGGGGGGGGGATCTCTTGCAGCCGAGCGAAGGCCCCTCGAGGCGGCCGGAGGAGGCCACAGGGCCGACCCTCCTGCGGCTCGTCTCGCGCCCTGCGCGGCGGGTCGCAGGAAGTTTCCAAGGAGACTTCGGGAGCGCGATGGGCGCGCCCAGCTTCCAGCATGTTCCTGCAGTGGGAGCTCGACCACAGGCAAACTGATGCAACCTTCCACAAGAGACCCAGCCCTAGGACCCCAGGACGTCCATGGCTTTGGCGCGGGAACGTCACGCCTTCCGTAGCAAACCCATCGAAACCCAAGAAACCCAGGGCACCCTGGAGGCAAGCAGGGTGTTTATTGGCATGGCTTTCCACTGCATCGCTCCTCCAGTAACTCGCGCCCAACCAGAAGTCTCGGCCACTTCCCCGGCAGAGCCGTTTTTTTTGACGGCCCGCAGGGGCGCTCTTCACGGGCAGGACGACAGCGAGGACGAGGACGAGGACGAGGCGTTTTTTGGCGTGGGCTTCCACTGTACAGTCGGGGCGTTGACCGAAGGAACCCTAAATAAGGAACGGGGCCCCTTTTCTCCATAAGTTGAACTTCGATCTCCCATGGAAAACCCCAGGAAAACAGAAGGCAAACTGTAGAACAGTCAAGGAACACCGAGCCCATCTCCAACGAAAAGGGTTCCTTCTTCAGGGCCCCGACTGTAAACCGATCGCTGGGCCCCTCGTCCTGGAGCCCGAGGCCCTCTTGGGGGCGCACCGTGCGGCTGGCGGCGCGGCCCTGGCGGCCGGCCGGCCCGGAGAGGCCAAGAGCACTGCAAAGCCGAGCGACGCCGAGCGTGCCTCGAGTGGGGGATCGACTAAAGAATCGGTTTGACCCCAAATTGATTTCCCCGCCGAATCCGCGAGAAAATACGTCAACTGTCCCGTAGATCTACGAACATTATGCTACGCGCTTCTTGTCCATTCGGCGGGAGAACAAATTCTGGAGCACACCAACTTTGTAGTCGATCCCCTAATCGAAA